TATTGTAATGTGTGCAACTCGGTGGGGATTGTTGCTCGTTGATCAGTTATGGTACTCTAGGAGGAGTAAAGGTTTGATCTTTATCCAAATATCAATGAAACGTCTGCATAGAACATCTACAACGAGAACAATCTATGTGGCATTGTAGAAAACCCAACCTTGAAATCTATTTGCTACTTTTTTATGGGAAACAGCGCTGTGATCAACAGTATCGTTTGAAGAACTGCAACACCATTGATTTAATTTTAATCCGATACTGTTCGCTAGGTATCCTATTGTATCACTAGTAATAGGAGGCATAAAGGAATGGCGAGCTCCTTCGTATTCCCTCTATCTTCTCAGCGATGATATGCCTACTAACTGAGACGCAGAGAAAACGACAAAAACGCTGAGTCACTACACACGCGGTTGACAACGGTCCTGTAACCATTTTTAGATGCGATCGAATAAGCGTGGTGTAACTCAAGTAGGTCAAAGTGTGCTGTATGGTTATTTTTTGCTAGTTGGTTGATATTAATTCTGTTGCGGCACTCCCTACGCTGTATTTTCAGGGTACGTAGAGATGAAATTAATGAATGTTGTTTTTAATAAATCTGTCCTCTTTCATGATCGCACTCACGCGAATAGCAGCATTGATCCTTGAGCTATGATTATTTTTACTGAACTTGCCACTTCGAAATGAGATCGGTCAGTTAACAAGGATAGACTTGAGTTAAGGATTTTACCTTTCCCGAAATGGCTCTGATTTGGTGCTTCGTTTTTGGGAAGAACACTATGTAGAAATTTATACAAAGGCTACGATGAGTTTCGGTCAAACCGCATTGCTCACATTGTGATGGAAATTTAAAAAAAAACCTCTGCGTCTTTTCACTTAGATTGCCTGATTATATTTGTTATGTTCCCGCTCTGTCGCTTTTCGTTATGCTCAAATCATCTCAGTAATTTCTTTCCTTTTTAGGATCCATGGTAGAATCGATTTTAGAAAAATACCTTCATGATGCTTTACATTTCATTTTTCCGAAGGATTGTTTCGAAGAGTTGATTGTCAGCTTCAATGTCTTTCATCGTGAGTTTCACCTTATTTGACTACTGTTTTTTTGTGATGTATTGAGTGTTTACGTACTTTCAGCAACATGTCCTAAGATTGTTTTGAGCCGTGTGCTTGGAATCGGCATCACAGCCGGTTCTGTTCTTCTCTTTGTGCCTCAGATTGTAAAAATCTTCAATGGAAAAAGTGCCAAAGTGAGAAAAGACAATTTTTCTTAGTCATCCTGGATTTTGATTTTACGTCATGATGTGTATCTTTTTAGAGTAGAAAATGAGATTGAAATCTGTTCGATTTTCAGGGGATTTCTCTCATTTCCCAGCTTCTTGCTCTACTAGCAGCCGCTGGTACGGCCTCATACAGCTTCAGTAAAGGATTCGTGTTCAGGTGAGTAAAATCTAGTTTTTTCTAGCCTTTCTTGCTGGAAATATTTTCTTTTAGCCAATGGGGGGATTCACTTTTTGTTTCTGTCCAACTAATGATTATTGTCATGCAGATTTTGTACTATTCGGACGCTAGTGCTTACGCTTTTGCGTTTTTCGCTTTTTGGTAAGTGATTTCAAGTTCCTATCGCTTCTGGAGGCCCTTTCGAGTACATTTTCAGCTGGGCTTTTGCATTTGCTGTGATTGGGAGTTATATTTCTTCTCAAATACTCACGATGATTCAAGCTCTTGGCATTCCTATCACAATTGCTTCCAAGGTGAGATAATTTGTTTAAACGCTGTTTCTATTTAATACAGTGCGTCGCCAAATGATACAGCCATCCCTAATTTCCCCTAAAACTCACAGTATTTGATGTTTCTGAACAAGTGCCAAAGTAAAAAAATGTGTCAAATCTGAATTGCAATTCGCACATTATCACCAAATTTCAGCTCAAAAACACAAACATTTTTCTTGGTCAGTTTTTCAGTAAAGGGTGCTTTTCCAGCGTCGCCAAATGATACAGCCACTTCATGTCTTCGTGTCGATTTTAGTTCAACGCAACGAAATGGCTTCGATTATGTTATGCTATTCATTTTCAGGCGATGGGAAGAGAAATTTGCTTTCGGAATTCGAATAAGGTCAATTTCTCGCGAAAAAGGAGCGAGGACTCTCAAATCGCAGAATCGCGCGAGATTTGGGTCGATATGACTTTGGGTTGACCTTATTCGAATTCCGAAAGCAAATTTCTCTTCCCATCGCCTGAAAATGAAGAGCATTACATAATCGAAGCCATTTCGTTGCGTTGTCACGCAGTTTTGGATTATTTCGTCAAAGTCTTGAAGCCTATGATAAACCAGAAGAAAGGCCAACAGGGACAAGCGCCGTACCTTGAGGGAAGCATCGAACTCCACCAAGTACTGTATGGAAATCCGGTCGTTTCTGTCTCAAAAAGTACTGTTTGGAAGGAGACCAGAAAGTCTACGCCCATTTTCTAGCGGAAAATGCGTAAGACTTCCTTCATGACAAAACGACATCGAGGAAATCGGGTCGCTTTCGCCAGACGGTGCAGCCGAACCGAGTGGAATAAGGTGTTCTTCATGTGCTGACATTTGGCCTTCCTTCTCTTGATAATTTTTGTTCTTCAAGCCGATTTTTCTCATGAAAAGGAGTTCAGCTGTGATGGTCCAGACGGGAACCGATTTCACTGGCACGGTCTAAGAAAAAATAAACTTCAGTTTTCTAGACGCAACTTCAAGGGATGAGAGTAATGGTTCGGGCCGCAATTTCATCGAGTAGGCTTACCCGTTTATGGTTTGTGTCGAAGGAGATGAGCTCATCCTTTTGTCGAACTATTATGCGCCGTGCACTTCTCCCTTCTTGGCGTCAGAATCTGCACCGAAACCTTGTTTTTATGCAAGCTAACGCCCCAATTTACGTCAGCAGGAGCACCCAAGCTTGGTTCTCTCGGCACTTCTGCCCTGACCGGCGAACAGCTCCGGTTTGATTCCAATGTGAAATGTATGGGGCTTCATGGTGCGGAAGATTTACGCCCAAAATAAGCAACTCCGAGGCGTCAAGGAGTTGAAAAACGCGATACTTGAAGCATGGCACCAGGTTGCCCAGGAGCTGACCGATAATTTTTTATTCGAGCCTAGACCACCGTATTATCAAAGTAATTTGAAAGAATGGTTGGTCAGCTGATTATTGACTTTGCAACTTTCTCTCCTCATTGTATTTGTTGTTAAATAAATTAGTTTTGTTAGTGGCTGTATCATTTGGCGACGTTGGAAAAGCACCCTTTATTGCAAAATTGACCAAAAAAATGTTTGTGTTTTCGAGCTGGAATTTGGCGATAATGTGTGAATTGCAATTCAAATTTGACACATTTTTTACTTTGGTAGTTTTTCGGAAACATCGTATACTGTGAGTTTTGGGGAAAATCAGAGGTGGCTGTATCATTTAGCGACGCACTGTATTACCATTACCATCACGCACTTTTGTCATCACTAGGTGATCGGAAAGATAGATTCTCTTTTTCATTCTTCTCCGTTTAATTTGTCTATCTCATTAGACGATTCAAGCCTGGCATAACTACAAGGACCAAAGTACCGGCCAGCTGTCACTAGTTTCAGTATTACTGCAACTGACAGGTTAGTTATGAGCCTGGATAATTATTCTAAGGTTTTTTTCATTTTTACTTGATCATTCTCCTCCTACTTTTCTAGTGCTTTCGCTTACAGCGGGAGGATATCAGATCGTAGTTGCCATTCAAGATGAGGCGTGTGCGGCGTAGGTGTTTTCGCACGCTGATCGCAAGTTTTTGTTCCAAATCTGCGAAACAGTTCTGCGAACCAAGCTATGGGAGTGTTATACTTCTGAGTTTTATCCCTCCGTCGCAGAGATAAGCGAAATGGCCATATAGGCCGCTTTCAGACTTATAAGGGAAGGATACTTGGTCGCAGTGGCCATTCAAGTGAGGTGTATACCCCCGTAGGTGGTTTCGAACACTGATCTCAAATCTGTGTTTCAAATCTGCTAAACGATTCCGGGAGCGAAGTTACGGGGCCCAATTCCTCCCTGTGTTATACCACTGTACTGAACTGATCACCGAGCCGAGCGGATAGCACACCTGTGCAACGGTGGCTTAGCGGGCAGTGTGGTGGACTGATACGCATGACATCAAGGATCGATTCCTTGATGAATGCGCTTGTTTTGCTTTTCCATGAAATGTATCCCCGAATCAAACGCCTTTCTTCCTCGAACAGTCAAGATGGTGCTTCGAAATCTTCGGCAGCTCCCCGCACTCACGGTAGACGGCGGTCGAATGACTCATCCGATCCACAATCCTCTGGGAGGGATACGGTCCACTCATTCTAGGGATCCTGTACGCGCTTTCGAAGCTGTGGTACAGGTTAACTGGCATTGTTGAAAAAATATTGTAGAACAATAGTTTATCGCTTCGTGTGCACTTTGATTATCCACTAATTCTTGAGGTATACGCTCTTTTGAGAAGCCCTTCCATGAGATAAGCGTGGTGTTGCGGTGGGACATGACACTACGGCTGCACTCAAAGTCCTGAATTCGCCTACGATTGCTTTGAAATTGTCCCCTATAGGTCTTCATTGTTGATTTGGAGCGTCATTCAGTTCGTGCAATGAGGTCTCTACATTAATTTTAAGATAAATCTTCCCAACTTATCCGCTAATCTCCATAGGTAAACAGATCGGTCTGCCTGTTTGCGCTTGATAGTGACGACCAGATAAGGCATCACGCTGTCGAAAGTAGGCTAATTTGAAAGCAAATGGTCTTTTACATTTGCCCTTATTTCCGCAACGGCACTCTGTCGTGATGATACGAAACGTATTTTTTATGTACGAGGAAGGGCGGCTTTCTCGACACTCAAACTTTGGAAGGCTATGGACTTCTTCTACCACCGCCATAAAATTGGAGCTCATGGGATGGTTCACAAAGTTGATGGCTACAACTCACTTCCGAAGCTCGCTTTTCTCGTAACGTACGAGGTTTCTTTCGTGAAGTTATTGATCCATCATCGCTGCCATCATCAGGCGACCGCAGAGGATCATTGTGATCTTTTACGGACATGACTTCCTCGCAGTGGATAACGGAACGTTTTCATAGCAACGAGTAGTACGGTTCGAAAGCTCTTTATTACCCCCTCTTCCTAGATGGCGCCCACGTTACGCTGCATAAACGAAAGTCCTCCATCAAATGCGATGGGACCACCTTCGACCAGAATATTTCACTAGTAAAATGCTGAAGAGCGTTTGATCCGATGAATCATTTGGAACCATTTTCCTTGTTACCTCTAAAGCCCAATTTGAGCGATTATTCAAAATTCCTCTTTTGTTCAAATGAGCTCCAATCTTATTGGGCCAGTGAGGAGCAAAAAAAAACCTTCCCTGTAATACCTTTCCAGTGTTCCCGAAATGTGAGATAGCTCCGTAGATGATCGATATTGAGCCCAAAAAACGTTTTGCAGGAGTTTAGGAGACATTTTATGGAAAAGCAAAACAAGCGCATTCATCAAGGAATCGATTCTTGATGTCATGGCTACCAGTCCAACACCCTACCCGTAGGCCACCATTGCACAGTACTGTACCTCCTCGACTCGGTAATGCGTTCGGTACAGTGCTACAACACAAGGGAGGCATCGGTCCCGTAACTTTGTTCCCAGAATCGTTTAGCAGATTTGAAATACAGATTTGAGATCAGCGTTCGAAACCACCTACGGGGGTATACATCTCATCCTGAAAGGCCACTGCGACCCAGTTTTTGCGTCAACCAACTCGTCCAAATCAGTCAGCCTCACGGTTTACGATCTCCTATCGAACTAATTAGAGCTTCTTTGCACTTAGGTGCGAGGCGACCCTGCAGTTTTTGCGTCAACCAACTCGTCCAAATCAGTCAGCCTCACGGTTTACGATCTCCTATCGAACTAATTAGAGCTTCTTCGCACTTAGGTGCGAGGCGACCCTGATTAGGAGTGAAGAGCGGAACGACCTTGATTAGGAGTGAAGACTCAGGGTTCATTAAACTTGCGGACATCCTCATCACTCTAGTCGGAAGTGAAGGAATTGTAAAGTTTATATGGAGTAATGTTTTGAGAAGAAGTAAAGTTATTAAGGTATTAGTTTTAAAAGTTGTTATCGTGCATAGTGAAGATATAGTAGCTAATTGCACATCTAACATTTTTTCTTGGAGGTAAACAAGCATTTAGATGAAGACTCTCAAATCCGTTCTAGAATTGAGTGCCTGGAGCGCTTTCCGGGAAGGAACACCCCGTCAAATTATCATATTTCTTCTTCCACAGTTTTGACTTCATAGTCCTCATCGTATAAGTGGAAATAAAGTCGTAGCGGATTCAACCACTGCACAACTTCTGGCTGGAGAAGGAGGGCTTCACAAGAATATAAAAACAGCTGTCACGAAATGCTGAGTACAAATGCAGAGAAAGAAAGCTCAAAAGGTCAGTAAGAAAAAGTTCAGCGAGAAACGGAAGCCCGCAAATCCGAAATCTTACTATGCAGGGATAAATGGTACCTTTTAAGACCTGATCAATCTTTTCCGAGAACAGTAGCAGTGATTTGGAATTTTTCGACCATTTTTCCGAGCACGATTTCTTGAATTTAATTTACAGGATTAACCTTTTTGATCTCTGAGAGTAGAAAAAACGGTAAGCTGGTACGTGGTACTTCGTGCTATGAATGTGAATGAGTTTGAAATATTGATGCGATTTTCAAAGTGTTTATTACCGATGTAATTTGC